GTCGTGACAGAAATCAATTTGAAGTTGTTATTGGTATTTGACTTTAACAAGCTTACTCGAATACCAATCATAAGATTTCGGAAAAAATCGTAATGGGTTTTGTTTTTCCAAAGTAATCTCAATGTTTTACGCTCGTATTGAGAAAGTTTTAAACTTGGTCGTGCACCTGATCTTATTTCGTAGATATATTGGCTACCACCTTTTCTTATTACTTTATCTTTTACTTATTTAACTCGTCGAGTACCGTATTTATAGACACAATTAAAGAACAATAGGTTGCGGTCACCGGTGACCGCTTGGTGTTTGACAGTTTAATGGGATGCCCTTTTGCACTGATTCAGAATTAACTGAATAGCTGTGTTTCACTGCCATATCACTCAATTTTCTTAGATACATGGCATTTGTACAATATTCAGATAAAGATATTTCTACATCTTAACCAATTCACAATTGAAGACGGAGCAAATACTATTAACTACCAATTGTAATAGTGTAACACACTACTTACTCTTACGTTGAAGAAGCCCTCCATCTTTCCTTGAGCCGTCTCATCCTCTGACACTTGAATTCTCTTAAAATACTTCCCCTAAACCTGCAGATGACAACAACATAACAGTAATAGTATTAAATGTTTCAATTAACGAAGAACTTGAAATGATGCAACAGAGGAACTTCAACACATCTCTTCAATACAGATCTTTACTGCAATCTTTCTTTTGGTATGCCTACAGATATTGTGTGGTTTTGGTTCGGTGAAGACACACGTGTGTAGAACCACTGGCACAGAAAGTAATAATATAGGATTATCTTCGATCAACGTTGTTATTGTTGATCGAAGAGGATTATACACAAAGTTACGGCTGAAATTATATAACAACAGGCTCAATAAAAAAATACGAGATGGTTTGATAGAAGTAATCTTTCGACTCAAAGATTTATTTATTCGTTCATTAAAAGATGTTGATTATCGTTAAATGAGTTACTACTCATTCGATGAAAATGATGGACCAGATTCTTAAGTAATATCTTGTTTTCGTCTTGACTTCATTCATGTTGATTTCAAAATTAAATGACATAACATAACATCACGCCTTTTATCCCCGAAGGGATAGGCAGAGGTGCACATAGAAGTAACACCCACTTTTCACTAATTATGTTATGAGTCCCATGTAATAGGCTCACCTCTTATTACATGGGAATTAAATATTAAACAAAAAAATCAATGTTATTCCAGTGACACCAGTTTCAACAATGAACATCATCATCATCATCACACTGAATTCGGTCACTGCTGGACATAGGCCTCTCCAATGGCACGCCGCTGAGCTCAGTCTTCAGCTCTTCTCATCCAACCACTGCCAGCCACCTTGGGGATGTCGTCTCTCCACCTAGCTGGAGGAAGCCCTATACACTATGTTTGCCTATCTGCTTCTAACAATACAACTACCAACAATAAACATTCTTTTTAAAGGGGATAATCATCGAATGACTGCTCCCGCCTGGGTGAGGCGGGAGGGAGTGTCAGACTCTTACTGACTAAAAACCACCCCGTTCCTTCACCTGCACGTCGAGCTGGAGCCCCGGTAACCCGTTAGGTTCTCCGCGACAACAATAAACATAATGGAATATTAAAAAATAATGACTACATTATTATTAGCTTTTCCAAGACATTATCCTCTTACATAAACACTTCAGAACTTGCTTTCTTTTAATTTACACCTCGCAGGAATCTCTTTATGAACTTCAGTTTATAAGTTGTAATTAATTTAAAGTTTCTTTACACTACTATCACTGCTTCTGACATAGTTAGTGTGCTTCTCAAGTGAAACTTCGTAAGAAGATTATAAACAAGTTTCAGTTTAGAAATACTTGCATTTGATTATGTTTGAGTGATGAATGATCATAAATTTGACGTAATTTTAATGTAATGAGATGAAGTTATGAAATTACATTAAAATGACTTTGAAACTTTAACTTTTTGAATTCAATTAATTTTTTGATCAAATTATATTTTATTTAAACATAATACGGCATGCTACGTATAAAAAAAATGTGAAGCTAATTTTGTTAACGTATGTAAGCTGAATTATAAACGTTCGTTCATTTCAAAACTTAAGGTCACGTCACAGAAACAACGACAAAACAATATAAAATTAAAAACAAATTATAGTAACATCAAAATCCTGTAGTTATTTTATAATTTAGTACGCATCTGGGTCTCCAGTATCTTATATCGTACAATAACTTAGCAGGCAAGTCAAGTGCGACAGCTACTGTTTTGTATGATTAATGATGCGGTCGTTAGCTGAGGCTGCAAATGGCAACGGAGTGTCGTCTTTATTTTCTCCTAAATGCGCTCGTCTTTCTTCTACGGTTGTGTCAAATCTGGGTGACGTCATGAAATAATGATGGCGCACTGTGAATGGTGATGCTTCGCTTTTGTGCGTTTAGCTTTGCGTTTAGGGCTGCCTGTTACTTGAATAGTTTGTTATGGAAAAAATATTATTATAGATGAAAAAAATAGGGAATAATAATACGTAAGTGCGTACTATATTTTTCTTAAACGTTGCCCCACAATAGGATTTTCTCTTGTATCGTGGTTGCGATAACAAACATAATATCACATACACACATGACACCTAGACCAGAATCAATAATTTGTGGATCACACAAAGAGTTTCTCCGTGCGGGAATGTAACCCGCTACACGTCCCGCGGTCAATTGCCCAGCCATCGCGCCAACCGTGCTGTCGATGATGTTTATTACAGTAAACTAAGTAATTAAAAAAATATTTCTAATAACACTAGTTAAACATCAACCACATAATTAATAGTATACTACCCGTATTCGATTTCGATACTGGACATTATACAAATTCAAATTTTAACAAAAAAAATATTAGTTAGTAATCTGAACTGAATAAATAAACATAACATAATATAACAACACGCCTTTTATCCCCGAAGGGGTAGGCAGAGGCGCACATTACGGCACTTTATGCCACTATACAATGTAACACCCACTTTTTCACTATTTATGTTATGAGTCCCATGTAATAGGTGGTGAGCCTATTGCCACATACCGGGCACAATTCCAGACTCCATGCCGTCAAAAAAAATTCACAGTAGTAACTGTGAATTTTTTTTGAAAAACCCAGTAATACTTTTTCCGATCCGGGAATCGAACCCAAGACCCCTTGCCCGGCAGTCGCACTTGCGACCACTCGGCCAATGAGGCAGTCAAAGAGGCAAAAATGTAAACAAGTAAAAGAAAACTATTTCAAAAACCACGAGACATCCCTAATTAGTCCACTCCCTCACACTAACACAAGACCAGACAATACAGACCCATTACGGCCAGTAACAGCAACTGACAGCCCTACTTCCTCAACAATTTCAAATGAAAAAGATAATGCCAAGAAGTCCGACTCTTAGTTAACTGAGCTCCACAGCACAGAACTTCCTGAATTTTTACTTTCAATTAAAGAGTGCTAATGGAAAAAACTAAGGGACATTCACAATGGTTGATCATTAGTAGGAAAAACTTTTTTGAAACGGTACCAAATTCACTCTTGATTCTATTAAACGGGAACTTTAGTTGTAAATCACAAGTTTTTTGTAAGCAAATGTCCAGTCTAATGTAGACTTGATGAATTGCAGCTTTGGACCTTTTTGTTTTTGGAAAGTAATTTATTAGGGAACTGCTGATGCGATGGAAAAACTTAAGGGTATTGACATTTTGTTATCTGTTAAAGATCTAGAGAGGAAAGGTGAATGGGTCGCTAGGGAGATTGAATGTCACGTCGTTGCTAAAAAAAATGTTTGAGAAAAAGTGTTTAAGACGTCGTTTTTACGTTTCTTAATTAATGAATAGGTACGGTGTTTTTGTTGAAATTGAAAAGGATCTTGCAAATATTATAGAATGTCAGGGATCTAATATAAAAGTTGCCGTGAAAATATTTATTTCGATAAATTAGAGTACACAGAGACAATAGGGTAATAATGGTAATGTTTTGGGTAAAAGATAACACATTTTTATGTATTTCATTTAGTGACTGAACTTAAAAATTCGTGCTTAGCTATAGTGTCTTTGAAATGATTATAATAATGTAGCATGTATGAAAACGAGTGAATTCATTATCTTGATGAAAGTTTTTTAGCCATGCAATGAGAATAACCTTAACCTTTATCGCCTCTACCGAGGCTGGTAGACGAAAACCTACCAAAAGTAAGTCACCCTAAACTACAGAACAATTAAACTAAAAAAGGGAGGATCCTTTAAAAACGAATTGTTACGTCTAATTTCTTTCAGCAATTCGCTTTTTTTAGTTTGGGGGGTACCTCGTTAACTTCGGTATTTGCCCACCTTTACCTCAATTTACTTTAACGATGCCCTTGTAAATCCAAGGAGACCAGTCTTTTTTGTCGTTGACTCTTGTACTGTTAAACCAAACTAAATTTGCACTTAGACAACCAATATCGTCCAAATCAAATGTCTTATCATCTTTGTCATAAGAACTAAAATCGTTTACTACTTCTACTTCGCGACAACATCCAGCTTTATCGTAGTAATGAGTCTAATGAAGGTTTTTCAAAAGGGTAAGGTTTACCAAGCGGCATTTAATTAAGACAGGACAAGCTCTGTTGGTAAATTTTCTTTGAATTCACTCGAATGTTCTTTTTTGCGACTCTTCCTCATTAATTGATGGTAATTTTGGGGAACCGAACAAATTATGTAAATACACTAAGTTCGAAATTACCTTATTACATTTTGATATGAAGATCAGAAAACCATAATTCTTATGCCTTTCATCTTGGCACATAAACAACACACACACATGGTGCGTCATTTGCAAAAACAAGCGTTCCTACTGCCGATTTCAACATTGTTCGAAACGGTAAATATTTGTCCTTTCTGTGGGAAAGAGGAACTTCTAAGTATCTGACTATAAGACCATAAATACGACAATTCTGTACCAGCACACTTCATTTGTCTGCCATTTTTAATCGGACGAGCAGTGAAAAAAATTATTATGAGCAATGTTTAAGTGCCTGTTTAAGTTTTTGTCATTTACCTTGGCTGTTTGGATAGTATCGTTACTAGCTATTATAAGAGAGTACAGGGCACATAACAGAGTAGTGTTCAGTGTTAAGAATGATTTATATGAACAAGCATTGGAAAAATTTCGAAGGAAAGAACCGATGAATAGAACTTCAGAGTTTCAAAGTAAGTTTAAACTTATGCATTTAACTATTACTCTTAATTAGACCATTTTTTTAAGGGGGGAAAATCATCGAATGACTGCTCCCGCCTGAGTGAGGCGGAAGGGAGTGTCAGACTCTTACTGACTAAAAACCACCCCGTTCCTTCTCCTGCACGTCGAGCCGGAGCCCCGGTTACCCGTTAGGTTCTCCGCGACAAATTAGACCATTACAGTGATCAATTTCGTAAAGTCGTATCCTATTAATTTATTATTTGCGCGCGCCTCAAAGAGCCATCAGACCATCACGGATGAAGCCCAATAGGGTTGATACCGAGAACGTAAAAGGTACCGGAGCTCCGGCTTAAAGTGCAGGAGTAGGAACGGGGTGGTTTTTAGTTAGTAATAGTCTGACACTTCCTCCCATCTCACAAAGACAGGAGAAGTAAAAAAATAACAGTAATCAATTTCGTAGCTAAACACAAAAATAATAAAAAACATTACGCCTGTTAACTGTTAAACAATTTAAGTTATATATTTTAGTCCTTGGAGCCCTAGAAATAAGGGTTTGAATAAATACAATAGTGTGTGTAGAGATTTATATATCTACGTCTTTCACGCTGTGTTTTAGACACTTGTACGTCTGTGTTGTACTGTCATGTAAATGCTTTTGTTCGTCATTTATATTTGAGTGGCATTTAAAGTGAGGTACTTATTTGTATGTTAACACATCATGGAATGATGATTATGTAAATCATGACTTGATGACATGAAATGATGAATGAACCCGAACAACGGGTCGCGGATTTGATTCCCGCACGGAACAACTCTTCTGGGTGTGAACCGGTCTGGGTGTGATTTGTATGTGAAATTGTATGTTGTTATACGCACTACACAGGAGAAAATCCTAGTGTGGGGCAACGTTCTTTTTAAAAAAAAAACGGAAAAAAAGAAATATTTAAATAAACGATTCACATTTTTTGTAAATTTCACAGCATGGCAATTACTTCCCGTCCAAAGCACTGGATTATCAAATGGGGAGATGAGGAGTATTATAAAAGGCTATAAATACCCACCAGGTAAGAATATATAGTACATACACTTGATGTAATTATGATGTCACAATTGAATTGCATCGAAGTAGATATACAGAAAAAAAATCAATTATTATGTTTTCGGCTTAATGACGTAACTGTTTGATGAGGAACTCGACTAGTTTCAAGCCATGCTAGAGGCTCATATTCATGAGCAGCATTCCGCGACTCGCGATACGGTGGCTATCGCGCTGCTACTGGCTGCTCAGCAGTTACGGGAGTAAGCCAAAAACATAATAATTCATTTAGGATGTATCACGAAAGTTATAATGCAAAGGAAATCCTTATCTATTATTAACATTCAATATCTAATCGGCTATTTGGTAAGAAACTATTATATGTTAATGGGGCCTACCATACTTTTGTTTAATGTGAAGAGTTTTTATATTTTGTCCAATCACATTAGCACCATCTGGGGAACAACAATACGGAACACCCCATTGAAAGCAGCTTGTGCATTAAAAGTACCTACCAATGTCTAAGTCTTCATCATCAACAGCCTATAAATGCTGAGCAAAGCCTCTTCTCACATAGAGAAGGTTAGAGTATTAATCATCACGCTTGCTTCATTGCGGGTTGGCGATTTCAAACTTATAATTAGAAATTATAAGCCCAGGTTTCCTCACAATGTTTTTCATTCACCGTTTGTCAGTGGTGTCTAAATAATCTTAGAAAGTATATATGTCGTAGGATAATTTGATACTTCGAATCTTCGCGGAAATCCTAGGGGTTTTGCGAAAACGCGGATAATTAGACATAGGCGAAAAATTATCAAATCTTACTGGACAAAGTCAGGATTTTTGCGAAAATACTCGTTACTATAGTAAGATTGCGAAACGAAACGCTGGCTGTTATGAAATAAGAACGCTGATTGGTCGGTCAGCGCGTTCAATAAGAGATCGTCTCTGATTGGTTGACGTCTTAAATGTTTTTTCGTCGTCTTAAACGACCGGTTTCATCCAATTTATAGATTACACCCTAAAATTGGATCATTTTTTTTTACTACGACTTAGATCTCCTATTGTCTGTAGAAAACAACATACATACTAAAATTTTCAATAAAAGGTTTATAAAAATCAATTTAGTGATTTTTCTTTCTCACCTATTCTAAACCTTCATAACTCTATGATACAATACTTGAAGTTAATCAACGGCAAACTAGGAACCAATTAGAAGTCAGCCAGCAAAATTATAGCCAATCAGTGTTGAGCACATCAAATCTTGCTATAGTAACGAGTATTTTCGCAAAAATCCTGACTTTGTCCAGTAAGATTTGATAATTTTTCGCCTATGTCTAATTATCCGCGTTTTCGCGAAACCCCTAGGATTTCCGCGAAGATTCGAAGTATCAAATTATCCTACGACATATATAACTCGGAAAAAAATCACATTGGTTCTTGCTGTTGGTAGGTTTAGAACCCGCATCCTCATGCATGAGAAGCAGGCGTCTTAAACCTCCAGCCACCACGACACGTATCTCCGGACCACCACGTCTAAGTCTTATCATCAATAAAATTATTGTTTATTCTTTTAGGTGCTAATGGTAGACCAGTAATCCTAAATGATCATTTAAGGTATTATATTCGACAAGAAATTTATAAGGGTTGGAGAGACCAAGGTTTTAATAGTTTTGTTAGCGATTTGATCCCAACCAACCGGACCTTAGCAGATCCTAGAGGAGATTGGTAAGTTTTTTATGGCGGTAGACAAGTAGCTTGACAATCTGATAATAGTAAATGGAAGGCGTTGCCCATGAACACCTGCAACGCTGAAGGAATTACTAGGTGCTGTACCAGAATGCGTTGCTGGCCTTTTAAGGGCTAGGGATTTATGGATTAATAATACAGAGGACGATTAGACCTCCAATAACCTCGCTCTCACTATAAAATGCAACGTAAGCATTATTTTAAGCCAGTTTTCTAGGAAGCGTTGTTACCGGAGGCCTAATTACCAACAATCCCTGAATCCCCAACAATCCTCAAATACCTAATCCCAAAAGGCCGGTAACGCATTTGTAACGCCTCTGGTGATCCAGGTGTCTATAGGCGATGCCGATTGCTTATCGTCAGGTGATCCGTCTGATCTTTTACAGGGTGATTCCATAAAAAAACCATTTCGGTCGAGCCAGCATATGCGCCAATTTTTGAATTGTCTTATTTGTAAAGTGGATTATTTTTAATTATTTTAAACATTACTATTTATTTAACAGAAAATATGGTTATAATTATATTATATTATTATATCGCAGGTGCAAGAAGCAAAACTTTTCGTCAGACTTACCTAAAGCTACGGTTATAATCTGCTTCTACAATGAAGCATGGTCCACATTGATGAGAACAATATCATCAGTAATGAACAGGAGTCCATCACATTTGTTAGAAGAAGTTATATTAATTGACGATTTTTCAAATATGGGTGAACTTTTATTTACATTTATTGACTTTTAAAAACTTATTTATTTATATGACTTTGACTGCCTCGTTGGCCGAGTGGTCGCAATTGCGACTGCCGACTCCCGGGCAAGGAGTCTCGAAAATTCTCAGTAGTAGCACGGAGTCTGGAACTGTGCCCGGTATATGGCAATAGGCTCACCCCCTATTACATGGGACTCATAACATAAATAGTGAAAAGTGGATGTTACATTGTACAGTGGTATAATGTGCACCCGTGCCTACCCCTTCGCGAATATATATGTTATGTTATGTTATTTATTGATCTCTGCACCACTACTACCATTTACTGCCACGTATTCGTGTACTGAAATTGGTAAGCTTTTTATATAAACATATTTATGTATTATACATTTTTATATATCATTTGGGATGTGAAAAATATTTTAAAACTTACAGACCACCTCAAAAAGAAATTAGAGGACTATGTACGGAAAACACCAAAAATAAAATTAATTCGTACAACTAAACGTGAAGGGCTTATTAGAGCAAGATTGTTACCAATAAAGGATGTGAAGACACCTGTTATTATTTATCTTGATAGTCATTGTGAATGTGCTGACGGTGAGTTGGTCTCATTCATTTCTTACCCCACATTAGGATTTTCTCCTGTGTTGTGGGTGCGATTCCAAACATAAAGCATAACATTTAACATTCACATGACACCCAGACTCGGAAAAATGATTTGTGGATTGCATAAAGAGTTGTTCCGTGCGGGAATCGAACCCGCGACACGTTAAACTGGAGTCAGTTGCCTAACTGGCCTAATATAATTTTATAGCAGTAGCTTAGGTATAAGCTGTAGTTTTCATTATATTTGTCTTAAACTGTCAAACACCGCGAGGACACCGGCGACCGCAACCTATTGTTCTTTAATTGTGTCTATAATGACTTTATTTTATTTTATTTTAATGACGGTACTCAAAGGGTTAAAACATTTGTCAAACTTTTGGTTGCAGGATGGCTGGAACCTCTGCTAGAATGTATCAAAGAAAACCCAACTCGAGTAGTAAGTCCAGTAGTCGACCATATTCATGATACAACTTTCGAATACATTGCACAAACAATTGACGACCTTCGAATCGGTGGATTTAAATGGGATCTCAAATTCGACTGGATTGGTGTACCAAGATCAGTAATCGAAAAACGAAGTAACATCTATGCTCCTATAGCCACTCCAACTATTTCTGGTGGCCTCTTTGCTATACACAAAGACTTTTTCAAAAAACTCGGCTACTATGACGAAGGACTTGAAATATGGGGAGCAGAAAATTTGGAACTGTCTTTCAAGACTTGGATGTGTGGTGGTTCTTTAGAAATAGTGCCCTGCTCCCACGTCGGCCATGTTTTCAAAAAGAACATATCGTCTGCGTTTCCTGCGCAGGAAACTATAAGAAGAAACCTCGTGCGGTTGGCGAAGGTATGTGTTAATTTGATGCAAAATCAGAATTGCAGTAATTTTAAAGAATCAATCTTAAATATGTATTATAAGATGAAATAACTTCGAAAGTTAAAGAGCAAACATGGTAAAATAATCTACTTGCTTCCAGTTACTATTGCTTCCTCATTTTTAATAGTCTAGGTGCTTTCTTTTTTGAGAGAGTAAAATCATCCAACGACTTCTCCCGCCCGGGTGAGGCGAGAGATAGTGTCAGACTCTTACTGACTAAAAACCACCCTGTTGTTACTCTTGCAGCTGAAGCCAAATGCCATTTAGCGGTTGTAGTAAAGAGTAGAAAACTAAATTATATAGAATTGACGTAAATTTTGACACTAGTCAGTGTCAACCCCATACATTTTGATTTCTACTCTCTCTGTAGACAAGCGCTAAAGTGGCGTTTGGCTAAAGGCGCGGGTGCTTATTATCTACATTACACTAGCAAAACATTAAATAATACTAGAAAATATACTGAATTCAAAAATAAATTATTCGTTCGTCAAACATGACGATGTTTAACACGAACAAATACAAAATCATTAGGAGATAGAGTGCTATCTCCTATTGATTTTATTATTGTTTTCTTAATATTTGTTATTTCTAGGTCTGGCTTGATGAATACGCGAAATATTTTTATGAACGAATCGGTAATAATTTAGGAGACTATGGCAATGTGTCTTCACGGATAGCACTTCGCAAGGAAATGAATTGTAAATCGTTTAAATGGTATCTAGATAATATTTATCCACAATTGGAAGTGCCTGATAAAAATATTGCTAGTGGTGAAGTAAGTAACTTGTTACATAGTTTTTTTTTATTAAATAAGCAGGTAAACGAATATAGGGATCACCTGATGGTAAGCAAACGATGTCGCCCCTGGACACTCGGACCCCTGGTGTTTACCAGAGGTGTTACAAGTGCGTTACTGGCCTTTTGGAGATTAGAAATTTGAGGATTGTGGGAGATTCGGGGATTGAGGAGATTGGAGAGGGGATAATGGGGCCTCCGGTAACATCACTCAGACGACGAAACACAGCACAATTGTTGTTTCACGTCGGTTTTCTGTGAAGCCGTGGTATGACTCCGATCGAGACGGCCCGTGCCAAAGCATGGCTCTTCCACATTTAAGTAGTAATAATAATATACTTTATATCCTCCAAATTCTTAAATTAATCTTGAAGGACAACACAACTAGCTCAAAAATCAAAGGTCCCTCTGCAATATGGCCAATTACAAAAATATATGGCATCTTTCGAAAAACTGTACTGTCAATTATGTTTTGATACCTATTTATCGTCAATACGATTGACGTCATCAAGGCAGCAACCAGTCGACTCTGATTGTATTCAAGTCACAGATGAAGGCAATTTTTCTTCTAGATTCTTAGTATTGGCAGCCCTGGTATATGCTTAGATGCTTACATAATATCCAGGGATCGTTATGGTGACACTGTTAAACTATTGCCATGTCATTTTCAAGGCGGTAATCAGGTAAGGACACATTTTACTGTTTACAGGGTGTCCGTGAAGTCAACAATCAAATGGCACCAAGTGATTGGCGAAGTTCCGACAGTTATCAGAAAAATATTTAAAAAAATCCAAGTCATATAGTTATTAATTTACAATGACTTATGTGTTATCCACAAAAACTACACCCTGTTCCAGTCTTTTCACTCTTGCTGCTACAACTCCTTATTTTTCCGTCTGTATTTTTGCTTGTTTTTTTTGCTGAATAGTTCTTCAATATTATAAAAATTATAAATTAAGATTTTTTTATGTTTTTATGATAACTCTTGAAACCTTTGTGGTATTTGTTCGTTGACTTCAGAGCACCCTGATAAGTAATTAAATGTTTAAAATTAGTCAAATGTTGACGCACATTTAAATACAAATATTAATTAAAATGTAACATTATAGAGGTACATTTGAGAGCAAAGAAAATGGAGCCATTAGCATTTTTTTCATTTTATCGAAACCCCTTTACAATGTTAAAAAAAAGTTTCCTTTTAATAGTAACTAAATTACCTTTAATACGACATACGTTAGTTTTTTTTTTCGTATACAGAAAATATTTATCAAGAAATTAAAAAGAAATAAAGCTAGTGGCTCCATTTCTTTGGTCCTAAGTTTACTTTTTACAAATCGCTTTACGAGTAGTCTACTTAACAGTAACGTCTCGAGTTTAGTCCAAGAATGAGTAATCTATGGTACACATTATATCAATACAATAAAATGAATTATTTAATCTAATATCAATTTTAACGATTGTAGTGTAATCTTGATTATTATTATTGTGTCCGTGACTGCCTCGTTGACCGAGTGGTCGCAAGTGCGACTACTGGGCAAGGGGTCTCGGGTTCGATTCCCAGGTTGGGCAAGATATTATTAGTTTTTTTTTAAATTCTCAATAGTATCACGGAGTATGTAATTGTACCCGGTATATGGCAATAGGCTCACCCCCTATTACATGGGACTCATTACATAGGTATATAGTGAAAGGTGGGTGTTACATTGGACTGTGAGTGGCATTAAGTGCTGTAGATAACGTTCACCTAGCTTACCCCTTTGGGGACAAAAAGCGTGATGTTGTGCTATGTTATTATTGTGTCTATTTAATCAAATTTACTTTAAACGTATTTTATTTCAGTTCTGGATGTACAGTTTACAAGGTGAAATAAAACACGACTATCTATGCCTGGACTATTTATTTAATACAATCACATTATTTTTCTGTCGCGACTCTGCTTCACAAGTTTGGTTGTACAATGACAAAGTAAGTAATAAAGATACTTTTAAAATAACTACATTATGGAGCCACACTGCGCTACATGAAGAAAAATATTATCCAAATGGTGACTAAAAATTGACCTGAAAAGATATTACTTTAAGTTTCGCACGATGCATAAGAGATGCATTGAATTTAGAGGTAGTAGTATAAAAAAATGGGAGAAAGAAGAGGTAAGTAAGAACAGTAGCAATTGGCGATCCATAGTTGACTGCACGGTTGGCGCGGTGGCTGGGCAACCGGCTACCACGCAATGTGTCGCGGACTCGATCTCCCACGGAACAACTCTTTGTGTGATCCACAGATTGTTGTTTCGGGTCTGGATGTCATGTGTATGTGAACTAGAATGTTTGTAAACGCAACCATGAAACAGGTAAAACAACAGTGTGGGGCATCGTTTTATAAAAAAAAATCTCGACGGTCATAGTCCTACCCCCATGGGAGACAGGCGTATTAGATCTCAAGCTAAAATTTGCAAGCTAATATACTACCTAACCTATACAGATGTGTTTTTATATAACTCTTCAAACGTAGTGACCAATGTCTGTAGGTCAACCTACTCCTTTATGTCAGATTACATTAGATTTTCAACCTTTCAGTTTTTATGTAAAGTCAAAAATTCAGTAACAAAAATTAAAACATTGGGGTAGGTTTACTGGACTTTGTACCAATTCTAACATACCAAGTACATACATATGAAGACGAAAATACGAGAGTTCATTGAATTTTCTTACTTTATTAAATTTTAAAAGAATTATTTTCTTTCAGACCCAGACTATAAGACACAAGCAGACTAAAAAATGCTTGAATGTCGGAAAATTCCCAGAAGGCTTGAAGGTAGTGTTATCGCAATGCTCGCATTCATCATCACAGAAATGGGTCATGGAACATTTTAATCCTGAAAAACTTACTCCAGTAATGCGGAACGAAATAACCCAATGGTACAATATGACGATATTGTAAAATATGTACTTATAGATAAGAAAAAATATTATTATCTATATATTATATAAAAATGAAACCCGTTTCCCGTGGTCACGCCATAACTTGATAAGAGAAAGTTACCTGTTTTTTAGTAATATATGGTTTTGTAAACACACAATTACATAAAAACATACAGAAGAATATAATTGGTAACGCTATTTTATTATAGTAGTAGCAAGTAAGTATATCGATTTTTATGAAAATTTAACCCTTTTAGTACCGTCATTATAGACACAATTAATGAACAATAGGTTGCGGTCACCGGTGTCCTCGCGGTGTTTGAAAGTTTAAATAGTTGAGCATGTTACTATTCTGTCTCCTGGAGTAATTCACCGAGGGAAGTAGAAACTATTGTATTTTCTCCTCTTATAATTTCTTCTGATTCATTTCATTGCGAGAACCAAGACATGTCTCTGGGACGCGTCGGACTTCAGTGTTCCGGTGTTTTCATAGTTGTATCCTGTAGATCCTGGCTTACAGTAGTTGCAGCGGTTTTGGGAGGTTGTGGCGGGCTTGTCCCAAAAAAAGTATGTTCATCAACAGCCAATGCCTACTGCTGAGCAAAGCCTCTTCTCACATGGAGAAGGTTTGAGCATTAATCACCACGCTTGCTCAATGCGGGTTGGTTTCCTCACGGTGTTTTCCTTCATCGTTTTTCAGTGGTGTCTAAATTATCTTAGAAATCTCATAGCTCAGAAAAAGCCACATTAGTACTTGCCGTTGCTAGGTTTCGAACCCGCACTCTCATGCATAAAAAGCGGGTGTCTTAAACCTCCGGGCCACCACGACATATTAAAAAAAGAATATTATTGTACTCAAAATATTATTTTTATGATCGGCGCTGCATTTAAGTATCGAACGAAATATTCAAATGTCGACGAATGAAATCTATATTATATAAAAGAAAGTCGTGTTAGTTACACTATTTATAACTCAAGAATGGCTAAATCGATTTGGATGATAATTGGTTGGGAGGTAGCTTAGGACCAGGAGACGGACATAGGATACTTTTTACCCATTTCTTTTGTTTACTTTTTACCGAAAATCAAGAACTGGAACGGGAAATATCGGGATTGCGCGTACGAAGTCGCGGGCAGAAGCTAGTATTATATATACATAAGGTAACCAAAACATCATGAGAGCCTGCACTTGGCCTCTACTGAACGATATTCATTATTTTAAGCCTATATACTATATACTTTATACCTAAATAATAAGAATGTAACCTTATGCAAAAGCCAAGTAAACCACACTAAATAATTAATTCACTAACAGCTTTCCTAGCCAAAGAAACCGCGGAACCTTTGAAGTACCCACGGTAAGAATAAAGGTGGTATCCCTTAACCACAGAGGGCGCTATGTACCTTAGAGAATTTTATTACCGTCCTTTTTACTGTTAAACTCAACCTCAAATGAGGACCTCGTTTGAGTCCAGTGGCATTATTGTGGTTTGAAGGAAAAAGCGCTGTAGCGAACACAAAGGAGATTTCGCTTTGTTCCAAATGTGAACGTTAGCTTTATTTTAGACTAAAATAAAAATATGCAACGCGGGAAAAAGTTATTTTTTTTACATGCGTCCATATTTTTTTGCTACGGTAATTTTTTACGTATGTTTTTTTTTGCTTATAAGTGTTATGTATTTAATTAGCTGTGTGTAATTATGTTTGTGTTTTATTAACGGACATTATTTTTGTAAATTATATTAAATGTAAAATGTAAAATTTTGGTTGTTATTACTTAATAATAAATAATGAAAGACATATAAATGTGATGTACTTCATTCCTACATGGAACAGTATCTACCAATTAAAATAAAGCTACCGCAATCAATTAAAAAAAATAAAACAGAACAAAATGTAGGTCACGGGCCAGTCACATTAGAAATGAATACAAAACAAATAATCGATTTGCCTTTTAATAAGACAATTTTATACAAGTAAAAACAAATTTGAAGAAGACTGCCTCGTTGGCCGAGTGGTCGCAAGTGCGACTGCCGGGCAAGGGGTCTCGGGTTCGATTCCCGGGTCGGACAAAGTATAACTGAGTTTTTAAAAAAAATCTCAGTAGTAGCACAGGGTCTGGAAATGTGCCCGGTATATGGCAATAGGCTCACACCCTATTACATGGGACTCATAACATAAATAGTGAAAAGTGGGTGGTACATTGTACAGTGGCATAATGTGCACCTCTGCCTACCCCTTCGAGGATAAAAGGCGTGATGTTATGTTTTATATGTTTAAAGAAAATTCAAACCAAAAATAAAACCTCCTTAGCAGCCAGTGCTCACATTACTACCAAATAGGTATATTATCTAACACAAAAAGTATTTACAAGAATTTATTAAGATTTAAACTCGACTAAGGTACACTAAGCGAACGCATTAATTAAAACTTATTATCTTTTAACAAACACTAATTAATTTTACTCACTGTCCTACTGGCTGTTTGTTTTAATGATAAATATGGCTATTATCTGTCTGCCTATCGCTTTAGGAGTTATACATAATTATACTTTGCTTCCGTATATATGTATATATAACTAGTCAACTAGTTCCGTATATATATATAACTAGTTGACTAGTTATATATATATACGGTAGTACTAGTTGATAGTAGTTTGTTCCCTGGACTGGACTTCCACAAACATTTGAAGTCCAGAATTAGCCAAATCGGTTCAGCCATTCTCGAGTTTTAGTGAGACTAACAAACAGAAATTCATTTTTATTCATATAGATGAATTAATTCTGAATCCTATTAAATTAACTACAATCGCGGGTTACTCACGTAAATATATTGCAAAAAGCGCTACTAGTTTCGAACCACAGAGAAGTTCTTCCTCATACGATGTCGCGCAGCTCACTGGCTGGCGTTGGCGCTCGCATCGGTGTTGCTCAGTATATTCACGTGCGTAACCCGCGATTTTAGATAATTCTGAATTCCTTAAGGAGTGCAAAGTATTTCATTTTTTGTTACAGAATAAATAAAAATGTCGTATCCGTTTACTTGCCCAGACAAAATGATTAAATATTGAAATGGATTACTTAGCCGTGTGGTGACGGGAGACCACCCTTTACTTTTGCTACAGGTTTATTTTATGTAATAAGCCAATAAACGAGCAGACGGATCACCTGCAATCTGCGCCGCCCATGAACACCTGAAACACCAGAGGCGTTACAAGTACGTTACCGGCCCTTGGAATTTGAATATTGTTCTGAACTCAGGGACTGGGGAGATTGGACTTACTTAAGGTGGCATAGGAACAGATAGACTTGAAGATAACCCATATTTGAAACAGAGACCGAATAGCAACGCTTTCTGATAAACCTGAACCGTTTATACTGCGATCTCCGACTGCCGAAGAGGCTGATAGTCTAGTAGTGCACTACAACAGGCCAATGGAGATGATCATGATGATGAAACTCCTTTTTTGCCGTTACAGCTTCCTTGTCATCATCAGCCAGTTTTCGTGTCTGCTACAAAACAGTGAAATGGATTTTCATACCTTCTTTATGGCACAAGCCGGTGAACGAGCAGACGGATCACATGATGGTAAACAATCGGCGTCGCCCATGGACACCTGGAACACCAAAAGCGTTACAAGAGCATTACTGGCCTTTTAGGGATTAGGAGTTTGAGGATTGTTGGGGATTCGGGGATTAGGGAAATTGGGGAAGGGGGGAGGGAGCTGGGCGTCCGGTAACCTCACTCACACGACGAAACACAACGCAAGCGTTGCTTTACGTCGGTTTTCTGTGAAGCCGTGGTATCACTCCGGTCGAGCCGGCCCATTCGTGCCGAAGCATGGCTCTCCCACACTTAAACGCTTACCAGATTTAATACACCACTGACTTAGATTTTTTATTCATCCATAACCTGGCACTACATGTATATTTTATTACTAAAGTTAGCTGGAAATTCCTACATTAGAAGGCATATATAACAAATTCTTATTGCTATTCCATTCCAGTAATTGAATTGAACTATTTCAAGAACTGAGTAATGAAAATGCTAGGATTGCGGTTGTCACAGGCTGAGGGATACGTATACTTACTTACCTACATCAAATATATATCCATATTATGTAGATTGTACTTACTTAATCTAAGTGTAATGTGTATAATATATAACATAACATAACATCACGCCTTCTATCCCCGAAGCGGTAGGCATAGGTGTACAGTATGCCACTGTACAATGTAACATCCACTTTTCACTACTTATGTTATGAGTCCCATGTAATAGGGGGTGAGCCTATTGCCATATACCGGGCACAAATCAGACTCCGTGCTACTACTGTTAATTTTCTTTGCCCGACCCGGTAATCGAACCCGAGACCCCTTGCCCGGCAGTCGCACTTGTGACCTCTCAGCCAATGAGGCAGTCAATTTTAATACATAAGTATGTAAATGAAAGCAAAATTCTAGCTTAAAGCAACTTACATTAGAAAAAAGAGAACCACGTAAGTAAGGCGCTTAAAACAGATTCTGATACAGTACATTTGGAGCTCACAAAAACGAACAAGTTACTTCTGTTCACACGTTACGACCAACCCTTTCAACCTGAAAAAAATATATAGTCCAAACAACGCGAAAGCAAGAAGTTTGTAATTTATAATGTACCTTTTTTTATAAACGTAGATACTGTTATCTAAAGATTAACTTAATTGTGGTCATAAAATAAAATATTTCGCCGAAACAAAATTTTCAGGGGAGGTTTTTTGTTTTAACCGTAGTGGGGATTATGTCGGATTTTAGTTGTTGTTTCTGGCCAGCCAGAAATAAATTACAAGGCCCACTGTTTGGGCCAGATATTTAGAAGAGAAAGTCGTGCGGTTTAGTTGGGAGCAAGGGTTGTTGTGTTGTTTATTTATTAATTATCAGTATGTTTGTAGTTTGACTTTTTTGTCAATGTTTAAAATATGTAACTTGGTGTCAAAATAGTTAGATATAGGAAATAAAATATTGCCTTGTTTAACCAGTT